TAAACAAATGTTGCAGTTCAGCTGAACTAGTTTATGGTACTAGATTAACATTGCCAGGTCAGTTGGTTGATCAAGAATCAACAGTGTCAATGATCCAAGTGGTTTCGTAAGCCGTCTATCATAAACAAAGCAAAACATTAAAGCGATACCTCCGGGTGAACGCAACAACCGCGTACGACTTGATAAACACCTGGAGACTTGTAAATTTGTTTTTGTTCGAGTAGACGCAGTTAAAAAGCCATTGAAACAACCGTACGAAGGACCTTAGCAAGTAATTAAACAAAAAAAACAAACACTTCATCATCAACGAAAGTGGAAAGAAGGAGACTATCGCTATTGGTAGAATAAAGCCAGCTTTCTACGAAGCGCAACAAGACAAAGATAGCACTGCAGTTAATCAACCCCTCCCACTAGTTACTACGAGAGCAGAGGAGGATGAAAATCCAATCATCAAGCCCACTTGCTTAACACGTTCAGACAGGACTGTAAAGAAAACCCAAACGTTATGTACATTTTGCTGAATAAAAAAAATCAGAACAAACAATCACTTATATATTGCACTGTTAAATTCACTCAATTTCAAATAAACTCACTATTTTTTTCTTTTCACACGTGTATATAATTAATTACATTTTACTCGTTTTGTCACAGATTTTTTAAAAATTTTTGTCGCAATAATAAACGAGTGAATCCTAGCTAATCATTTATTTATCGTACATAAAGTAAACAATTCAATTTTTGTGGGCTTATTAACAGCTTTGCACGTTATTGTTTTTATTAACAAAACAAGACAGTGAATGACCGCATTCTCATTTTTTTGTTGTGCTACCCTACATTCATACTACTTTGTATACTATCACAATGTACATTACTAACGTGCAGTTCGTACCCATCTCCACGTTTTTTCTTTTTGGTTATTACCGTAAATATTATTTTGCATACATGTGTATACCTTACTCTCACAATTTTTCGTTGTTGTTATTATAACCAGTGTTACCTCTGGACACTCTGGGGGGAGCTATGTGGAGATATGCATGACAAGCTTATTTTGTAAATAGTTTTTGATGTTAGTTGTATTTATTCTGTTAGTTTTTCATAGCCTGTACATTTACCATTAAATGATTGCACGTACTGTTTAAGTGCATAACCTTGAACACACTTTCTTCCGTCGTGTTACACTCATAGCATAACACACGTTGTTACCTACTAACAAATACACTGCTATACACATACCTTTTGTTCTTCATTGCTCGTGACTGTGTTAACTGAACTCTAAATCAACTACCGTCTACATATATAGACTGCAACCAAATTAGACTATATTCTACGCTTGGTTATGCCAGTGGAAAGACATCAATCTTACTGGAATCTTCAATCATCCATAATTGTGGATTTTGGTACCAAACTCAGCCGAAACACGCAAAAACCTGCTGAACTAAGTAACGTCTCTAATTTTTGTTGTGTTTATAACGTTTAGCTGATATATATTGACATTATTATTTGTACTTAGTAACTCTGTTATCATTTTTCAGTTAATATATTATTTGGTCCACCACAACATAAAACATGTGGGTCGTGAAAAGAGGATATAAAGCTAGGATGATAACGTTGTCAAAACCATGGGTAGTTAGAAATAGCTACAACTTCACCTGATCGCTTGATTGTGCAGAGACATACTAAAGCAACTTTCTTCATGACACTCACTAAATTTAGAGTATACTGGAAATCATGTCATTCTGTTTAGCAATTATATTTGGTTTCATAATATCGGCGTTTATCGAGTAATGAGAAGAGGGATAATTTGATATGGAGCATTTTGAGTCTATAGAATCCACAGGTCACTGTTAAGAGGCTAGATATATTCTAAACTTTGAACTTAAATATCAAGAGTTTGGTCGTTATATTAAATTCTTGGTTTGAAAGAGATGTAGCTGTTGTTTCAACGAATGGTCATTAGTCTTTGGGTATTCCCATTTCCCAAAATAAAATACGTTATTCTCATTGTTCTTTTGTCGTTCTTGTATGGTTATATTTGTGTCCAATTTATTTCTTTTATATGCGTGATTGTGTGAAGACTAGCCTGTTGCTGCTAACATAACTAAAGCGCAAATGTACACACCTCTTCGTGTTTATGCTCGAACCAGTAGCAATGAGGCCAAATGTATGTTACTACCGTTTTGTTATTATTTTATTTGAGTTTCCACTTGGTGCAAATCATTTACTTCTGTACATTCGAGGCAAGCACGTAGAAAATTCGGTGCAAGCACACATTGCAGGCATGGAGAAAAGTTATTCTATGTGTTCTCGCTCACACCACATATCATCGAGTATTTTGGATGCATTTATTTATTAGCTGTGAACAGCATTTTTGCCGTCTTACGTCAATTTTCATAATGTTTGTGCTTATTACACAGCTTATATCCCAGTCAACCAGGAGTTTGACGTAGTTGTTTTTCACCATCTGAGTGAATATGAAACAAACTGTAGTGTGGTCATTTGTATCAATCTGAATTCAAGTAAGTGAAATGCATTGTTAATTAGCCACGTATTCTTCATAAGTAAAACGATACACTTTTGTTTCGAACGTGGTAAGTGAACTAAGTTATTGGCGAATATTTATTTATGATTCGTCTGTTGTAGAGACTGCGAATGAATTCCTGTAAACAGGATCGGCAAACACTGACCGAATTATAATCAGAGATCTAATTCAATTAATTTGGAGTCGAATGTGAGTGATCCCCAGCTTCGGTCAAACGCAAACCGTTCAGCTAAACGAATTTAAAAATTTTGAAACCCTGAGATACCCGAATTACCTATAGTTTAAGTTTTTCAGTACGCAATCTGATGATGACGACATGCTTAACGTCAAGTTCAAAACGGGAATGCTATGATAGCAATCAATGTCAACCAATAGACAGTATCACAGTCAAAGTTTTGTATTTTTGGATGTAGTTGTGCAGTGTGAACTCTATTTAGTTAACCGCGATGCATTTTTGGAGATGATTTGTTGTCGGAATTGGTTGAGGAATTTCAGAACCACAATCGAATCTTGCTCAACTGAAGAACTTTTAATCGAGCAGTCTCTGTCAAGAGAGAACATCCAAGTCTGTAAAAGCCATAATGGAATTAGTTGGTGCAATGGTACTACCTTTAGCCACAGGCAGGAAACACCGAGACATTTCAGAAATTTTAGTTAGCCGCAGAACAGAAAGTTAAAGGCAATAATTGGAGTGCACACGCGCGAGGAAATTATGTGAGCATGCGTTCTGGCAGCCACTTCGGACTGGAAGTATACTTAACCTTAGTTCGTAATTGTGGCAGTTAACCTGGCGACCAGTCAGAATGCAGCGGAATTTATCATTTCAACCCTCCTTGTAAGCGATTGCCATCGGCTATCCTAGTTCTGTGATTCGTGCCAGCGTTTTCGTGTCGCTGCAACCTTTATTCCAGTAGTTTACTGAAATTCCGTCATTTACGTTGTTCTATAAATGTTAGCGCTTATGATTTCGAATCAATCTGGTCTTCTCGCTTTTAGCTAATACTTTGGTCAGCTGACCTGTTTATTCTTTCCGGCACGCTATCGTGCTCTATGTGACAAAATAGTGATGCTTTTTGTTTTGAATAATCTCTTTGTAGATACCACATGCGAGAGCAAGCATTTTTGGCTGGAAAAAATGTTGGTGTCGCCTGGGATTGTTTAGCTTTCCGTATATTCACTCCTAAATATTAATAATGGTGTAGTAGAGAACTATGATAGTAAACGGTTTTCGTTTTGTCATTCTATTTAGTATTATGGATAACCCTCTTCTGTCAAGGAGTCGAACCAGTACTGAGTGTCTAGCAATGGATACCAGTGGTATATTTAGTAGGACCACTAGACCCATGTATCAGACAATCTGAGACCAAGTCAGAAATGCTGTTAGTCTATTGATGAAGGTTTTTATTGAATATATAGCATCATTAGACCACTTGGGCAAATTACGAGAAGCGTGAACGTAAGCTTAACAATGAAAAGCCGGAAATCCGCTAACCGTATGTGTTGTAAGTATTTTGTTTGGGCTGAAGTAGGAAGCCAGACTGCCAGGATCATAAAGTAAAGTTTAAATAACTGTCATCATGCAAGCGTCTTCATAAATCAAAGCTTACCGGTTGCATCGCCATGTTTTGTTTGAGCAATGATCTCAACCGAGACATATAAGATGATGCAGGAACAGCCTTACAACAAAATGTATCTGAAAAACGGTGTGCGATTTATGAGATTCTGTAAACGTCAGTTAGAAGTTGTTATATCGTGTGATCCTGGGCAGATTAGGCCGAAAGTCTGTTATATTTATGTTCAACAGCCTGGAGATTCCAGCTCTTCTTCGCTCAAACCATATTTCCGGATAACGTCGTTGCAGCTTCAGTGGTCAGTACTTCCAGGATCACTGTTGATTACAATAGCACTCACCTTAATGCCGAAACTATTTCTCTCATAGCAAGTCCACTTCTTATTTCCGAACTACTAATGTATTCCAATGTGCTTGCATCTCGTTTTACAGAAAACTATCCAAGGAGATTTTCTGTACAATAAATTTAAATTGTCTGTAGTTAAACAGACACTTAGTGTTGATCCACTGCCAATTGCATTTAGTCAAGACGTAGAACACTACTCTACTAGGACTACAGAATATCATGATGTTCGTCTCGTAATTTCAACGCTTGGGCACATTAACGGGAATAAGAAATAAAATTGCTCTGGTTTCTAAACTTATATGCTTCAGTACCTCATTCAAATACCAAGTAGGCTAAACTAAAGAGGTATCGTGATTATCCTTTAATCTGAACTGCTATGTTACTTAAAGTAGCTGACTGTAGATAATTAAGCATATATACCATGAAATTAAACTATAAGCTAACGAGACTTACCTAAAAACGTTGAGTTTCTTACCACTGCCACTTCATGGTATTCGGAAACAGAGTGCCTGCCAACTTTTTGGCCTCTCAAGGTCGTGTAGACTAAAGTGAGGCGATTTTAAAAATAAGGTGTTTGAGTGCTCGTCTAGTCACGGGTCTTGCCTTTATCATTAAGAGTTATGTTTTTTGACCAGATTAAATCATTTTCAATCACTGGGCTTAAGAATTTGAATTAAGTGCAACATGTTTCGTTTTTGTGGCGCCGTAATAAAAAGGTTTAGGGCAACCTGACAAAACCCCACAATTTCCCCTGATCTGAGATTTTTCGTCAAAATCTCAACTTGCTTTGTGGAAGTCCCTAAAACTCAAAGAAAGTTTGTGGCTTTGTCTGATGGGGGAATACCATACATTTTCGTCCAACTTCATAGAAAACCCGGAAATTCCCTTGAAAGCCCTCAGATTTTGAAGATAGGGTTTTCGGCATCCTTGTTTCTATCATGAATTAACATCGGCTATACTGCAAACGTACTTAACAGCAATAAAAATGAGGAAGTATCATATGGCAAGTCGTTGCTTTCTCCTTGCTCTCGTTCAACTAGGCAACGATTTCGAGGTCGTTCGGCGTAATAGTTCATTTCTACCCTTGCGTTCATTCAGTCTTCATAGTGAATCATAACTCTTCGTTCTTAGTGTTAGTGTTTTCGAACCTTACCGTGTCCAGCTTCTAGCTACTGTTAACAGCACTTTTTCTCACTGGTCAAGGATTCCTCTACTTTTTTATAACACTCAACTATTTTATCAGTTGTCATATATCCTCTTCAAACGCAAGTCTAGATGCTTGTAAAATGTTGCCACTTCGAACAATTCTGTCAAAAAATCAATCAACTTTAGTCAGTCTAATATACAGTGAGAATGTTAAAGTTTGATGCTTGGACGCAAATAATTTGTTTTGGGAATCTTATGGTGCTGTTTCGTTTTGCTAGATTGTGTGACTGAAAGTCGTGCTCTTGTTGCTAGTTGGAAAGTGTTCCTTTGAACTTGTGTTGATATTCCATTTGATTCAGCTGCGTGTATTAAGTATCCTGATGGTTTGGAAATTCGTCAGCATAACATCTACACATTTATTATCACTGTTAAACCAGCCTTGTGTGCTTCCATAGTTTATACATGGACTGTTTGTTTTGTTTCTTTCTGATTACTCTCTTCAATATTATTATTAATTGCCACATCATATGTCCCAAGTTTTAACTGTTTTCTATTTTGTAGTTGTTATTTAAGAAATCTCAAATTTGAATGACTAATGATGAAGGGTTGCAGCGTCAGCTGCTTCAAGAATTGCAAAAACAACGATTCCAACAGTTGGGTCATCAGTTAACTTCAATCTGTTGGGATAAATGTGTTACGAAATTAAGTAATTCACTTGACTCTAGAACTGAGAGTTGTATAGTCAATTGTGTAGAGCGTTACATTGATGTTTCCGGTGCACTTACTCGTCGTCAGAATGAAACACGTTTAGGATTTATGGATGTACAACCTAATGATTAGTTAATAAAGATATATCGATTGCAAATTTCTTTCTTCTCGATTCAAACCTTTGATTTTTTCCAAAATAATTCATTGACCTGACTTATATTTCAGATGATTAATTTCCCCTCAATACGGTAAGATGTCAATAAAGTGTATGTAATGTTTTGTTTGTTACTTTCAGTCTGCTTAAATGCACTGTTGGATCTGCATTTTGTTCAGTAGGTCTTATTTTCAAATAAAATAAATATTGAAAAATAATGCTAATTTAAACAACCAGGTGCCGTTTTCACGTTTATTATCAAATACAACTACTTATCCGGAGTATGGAATCACAAATATTCAAGATGATAGTGATTTTGACAAACGTGTATTAAATAATTCAGCACCCGTCATTGTTGACTTTCATGCTAAATGGTGAGTAATTATTGTGTAACTTATACAGAGTTGAATGCTAATTTTCTGTTGATATCCCAAAGTTACTGGTTGAAAGCTGTGTATCGCTTCTCCTCATGTGCTTCGACTAACTAAATTCGATTGTCCAATATTAAGAATTTTTAGTATGAGCGTGTGTGCTATCAACTAGATCATAATTTATAGTTCTGAAATATGTCTTCATTTTTAAGGAAAGTCATTGTAGGGTTGTATCGTTCTCACTTGCAGACTCGAAATCTTGTGAATACTTTGGTTTTGCGATTGCTTTGAATCATATAGGAGCTGTTTATGACATTTAGTGTCTTTATCTACCCACAATTACATGATATAATGTATCGATTTTGAGTTTTTGTCTTATATGTTTTTAGTTCTCATGACGAAGTGATTTTTGAGAAGCAGTGGATGCTCATACTTTAGGTACTGACTAGTAGTAGAGTCTAGTAAACTGAGACTCAATCCCAATGCCCGTTTTTAATGTGAACACCAATAATGTAATGTATCGGGGACATCCGGTTAACGAGCTATAAACATGTCGAAGTGTGCGACTCGAATCACACTGCTAGTCACTGGAATATATATATATATATATATATATATATATATATATATATATATATATATGGGCAGTATAGTATTAATATACTAGTCAAACCTTACACGGGCTATGATTTACCTATCCAAACACTTGTCATCCAGTTTCATGACAATAAAAGCTCCCTTGGTTGGTAGCATAAATTTGCACAAAATTATTTACGTAATATAGAAAAAAACGTAGTGCTTGACGCAATATAACACCAAAAAATAACTCATAATAAATAAGACTTATAAAACAGTACCTTAATAAAATCAGATGTCTAGAATTCGTTCAAGGTAAAGTTGAATAATGACTAAATAAGGAGATAATGTAATTGAACATATATTCACCAAATGAATGGATCAGAGATTTGGTGTAGTATATCAAGTGTGTATTAGTGAGTTGCGAACTTTCATCGACTAATGTAATTAGGATATGTGCTACTCATACACTTAATTACATTCTGTCTTGATGTTCAATGATGGTTATCATAAAAATAGAGTGAAACAAGTCTGAGTATGGTCAATAATAAATATGTATATATTTTTGCTATATCTTAGTGAGTAGAAAAATTGTATTTATGACATTTTGTGATTTGATCTAAGCCACTTCTCCAGAGTAAGTAAATGACCGGATCAAGTCACGAAACATCATGAATAGACTTTTCTACTCATTGGGATATAACAAAACAAAGTATAATTATTGTCAACTTTCTACTTGGTGTTCAATTTATTTGAAACTACCAGGTCGAACCTTGGCATTAATACCTGAAATGTATGGTCTGTTATAATCCTAACATGACTTCGTGAAACCATTTATGGTTGGGTCGAACTGTTATGACGGTTGGTGTCCAAAATCTTTTAGTGATACATGATGTGCTACGCGCAACCCCCCACCTACTTGAGTGGGAACACAAGACTAGACGAGAAAGTATATATATATATATATATATATATATATATATATATATATATATATCTATATATATATATATATATATATATATATATATATATATATATATAATCTCCGTCTTAGAAAATCAGTCCATTTCTTAGCCAATAATATGCACTTGTCCTTCAGATCACTTCTAATTTGTTCATCATATATCAAAAACGATATCAAAAAGCGGTCCATATAATAATCGTAGTTCCTGATCACGGAGTTTATGTAACATGGCTTAAAATCAATCTCGGTAGTGGTGGTACGATTTTTTCCTACCAACTGTTTTCCTGAGTTTCAATCTTGTTTCAAATATTTCGATACCCTGTTTCATTAGCTCTTTTCAAATTATTCTTCTAATGTTTTCACTTTTTACTATTCATTAATCCGGCTTGTTTAATTTTTGTCCTACTAATTTTCTGTCTCTGTGCTAATGTAAAATTTCACCATTTGTAATACGTCCTAATTTGATATGATAGGTTAGATTTCGTCAGAGATTTATATCAACTGTGAAACACTGAAAGCCAGAGAGTATTGAGTAAGTGTTTCCTATGTTTTGGAGGAGGGTTTTAGTGATTCGATGAAACAAATTTTTGGTCGTTAAAATCACTCTGATCAGTGGACGGTAAGGAATGATAAAAAGTGTGGTTGGGTGATGGCTTCTCACCAGGCTGTATTCTTGACGTAATCCCTCAAATGATTCGAAATCAAAGACAAGGTCATTGTCCAGATCAATATTTTTCTCATGTAGCAAAATAACGTGCTTATGTACAAAATATGAACACAAAATAAACATGATAAAATGTAGGCGATTGAAGAAAGTCAGTTTGTAGGTCATCCACTTTCCAATCAATTGCGATATGACTTACATTTAATACTTACCAATCTTGTCATCATCTTATTGTTGAACTACTCAAGAATATGCACTCCTATATGTCCTGATATGATCAAGGTTAGAGGGCCAGCCCTCCCCCTAGAAATACTTTCACACAGGAATGGGTTTATATCCTCTGCTAAGGAAGTCATATTTACCACCTTGATGCAGCTGCACTGTTTTGGGGGAAAAGAATGAAAAGCGAACTTCTGGTACTTAAACCGTGTTAGTGAATACGGACGATGCATCTATAGCAGTTGGAAAACTTTTATTCAAAACCAGTGATGTACTTAGGATCTACGATCTTGTGTAAACAAATGGTGTGTAGACCTATCCTGGTCACCGACTGCCATGGAACTACATCTGACGTTGCTCGTTGTGGATTATACTTCTATGTCAGAAGCTGGGAGGTGGTTACCTAAAATAACCACTTGCTTCATTATGGGTGTCCTGGCAATATCCCAACCCACACACAATTATGTTAGTAAACAGTTATGAATACACTTCTCCACTCGTTCGACTTAGCTAAACCAAACACCCCTCCTAAAAATTTAGTCCAATGCGGTCGATATCAATCTAATTTCAATTAAAGTCTCCATAAATCACGGCAACGGAACAAGTTGTATTGGTAAAATTCCAGAGATTTGTTGAGTAATGAATATCAGAGTTATTCTATGTGAAAGGTGTACTTTATGGTGGTTCGATTTGTCATATTTGTGTTTGTGAGTTTTTCTAACTACTTGAAGAACTGGTTTGTTTGTGTTAGATAACCCTACGTATAAATCCTTTGTCTTTATCTGTCTCTTTTTTAAATCTAGGTGTGGACCTTGTAAAATTTTAGGTCCAAGGTTGGAAAATATAATGAAATCGTATATGAATTCTGTGCTACTCGCTAAAGTTGATGTCGATCAGTTAGATACTGTTGCCGAAAAATATAAGGTAAAATAGTTCTGACATTCAGGCTATTATTTATTTAATTTTTTGTTGTTTAGCATTTCAATTAATATGATACTGAGTAAATTTTAGACGTCTATATTGTTTTCTAATGAATCAAATGTCGGTTGTCTGAAGTAGCATGAAAACATGTGACGGTGACGATGTTCGACTTTCAATCATACTAGGTAATATGCTGGAATTCCACTCCATTTACTTCAGTTTGGGCAGCCTGATAAGATCATCAGCCTTCACAATTAATAGGTGGCTAAAAACCCAGCATATAAATCTGTACCTGGTAAGCCGATTGCAACATAAAATTGGTAGTGCTATAATATTATCATTAATTATGAATCGATTCTGAAGGTCTTGAGTCCTGTCTCATGTCAGGGTTATAAGTGTATGCATTTGTAAACAGTTTCCATCTATGAAAAAACAACTGTCCATTGCTCCGCGATGTACAATAGTTGTGTAGTTGAAGTTTATCCTTGATCGTTTAATATTATGTGCGAATGATTTCAATTGATATAACTTAATGTCATCACCAGTAGCAGGTGTGTAAAAATACACTCCGTTCAACTGATAGATGATGACTACAAGTCCTTGTATATCAAACTTGTACATGATTAATGCATTACACAGCATCTGTCTATCAAATCATGGATTATTTCTTTCTTGTTTATTGTTATTTAGATTAAAGTTGTTCCAACTGTGATTTCCATCAAAAATGGCAAAGAAATTGAACGTTTTGAAGGAGCCAAAGAAGAGGAGTTCATTAGACGTAAAATAGAATATGTATTAGCGCATAATGGTTAGACGCGACAATTCAATATAATAACGTTTGAATTGATAATTTTCTTCAACTAATCAACCAATTAATAGATTTCCTATTGTTCCCTTGTTAAATATTTTAGGATGTTTCTATGTGCATTTCTTAAAATGTATGATTGTTATATATGAAACTGGTTGCATTAAGTTTAAGTGTAACTATACTTGATCATTATTGTGTGCTTTTTGTTTCCTGTAATTGAATGATATCTTCAAACTAGTCATAGTTTAATGAATGAAAAATTATTGAAATAATCGTGCTTAGTTGCGACTGTTTATGGAATTCAAAGGTGTGTGTTATGCTTATTTGGGATTCGTCAGTTAAGTGTACGTGTCTTTCTGGAACTGCAGGGTAAGTAAGTAGTCCTGCGTTTAGGTGGATGGTTCTAGGTAGAGATGGTAATTCGGTTGATAAGATCAAATTCTTACTGACTGTGGTAGTCGAGATATATGCTACACATTTCGAGCTGACAAAATGCTATGCAAGCCAATATTGGGATAGAATAAAATAATAATAAGGCTGACCAACCAAAATATAACGTCAATTATTGTTTGTTGGACTGAACTGTTTCCAAATGGTGGATACAATTCGCCGTCGATATCGGTGAAATCATCGTGTTGTGTGCGATATTTGTCAGTTTCTACAATCAATTACTATAAAGAAGTTGTATTCACCCTTTATTATCATTTAGCTTTTGAGTTTTCATCATGTTATGCGCTTCCTAATCTTCAATCTCAAAGCCAGATTTTGTTTACTAATGCTACCATTAATTTAGCGATCTCTTTTTATACTTACCAATTTTAAAACTACGAAAGAAATCCGTTGTGTCATTAAGCAAAAGACGGTTCAGCGAAGAAAATTTCTTTTTTGACAACATTTACTAATCCTGCGGTCTTGCATCTTTAGTTAATCAAATTATATCAGTCCACAAAAAAATATTACCATCAGTAAAGTTACAAAAAATCTGAGTATCAATTAGAGTTATATGATAGGGTAGCGCGAATCAAAATTAAGCATAAAATAGGTGTGGAAATGTTATTCTCTTCCTTCTATTCAGGTGAATAAATATATCAGAAACAGCTTACAGCGTATGAAGGGAGTGTTAGGACCATGGTAAAAGAAGCGATTAGAAATACCTCTCTTGAACACAAAAACAAGGGTCGAATTAGTAAATTGCCAGTCTCCGTGTTAGGGGTATTTGTTATCCAACTCTTGATAGAATCAGTTCATCTTTATGAATGATTCTGAATAAAGATTCCGATGAAGGGCGATGAGTGGAATCGGTCAGTGATCTAAAGATGGGAATGTTGACTGCTTTGGATTGATCGGCGGGCGTAAAGTATACGGAGAAACCAGTCAGGATTTCTTGGGAAGTTCATTCTTGCGTAATGGATAGTATTAGTTTGTGATAAAAACCTCAATAATTCATCTATAAGGCTCGTTATTCGTGTTAAATCTGTTTGTCAATAATCCAAGTCTAGCGGCAAGCACTTAACCGTTTAACTCATAATCTGGCATTCGTTGGAATAAAAGTTTAACTTCAGTCAGTTCCAGATATTGGGCGGTTATTTTCCGATGTCATTGCTGGGTGACTGTCTCACCCCTGATAATGTTGAGCTCCACCGGTCACAGCTTCTCGCTAGCACTTCGTGGATCGCCTCTTGAAATTAGTCACTGATGAGTCCTTGGTTATAAATGGCCTAGGGGGTTTGTAGAAGATTCTGAATTTCATAGTTAACACCACTGTCCTGGGTTCCATCCCAGACAGGATTGTGGATCTACACTCCTGGGGAGTCCGGTACTAGGAAGAAACATGTTCGGTGTTTCCTATTTTTAAATAGTGGTTTAATTAATATCAATCCGTGATGTGAACTATGAAACTTACTATTTATTAGTTATTTTTGTCTTGTTCACTTCTGTTAATTAATTTCCCTATCTTTGTCTACCAAATAGACGCGCTGGATACACTGAACACTTTATGTTTCTGAAATGCATTGACTACTTTGACAATATATATATATATATATATAATTTCTCTAATTAGTTGTCGTTGAATTGGTTGATATACAGTTGGATTAATTCAAATAAAGTTCACTTAATCTGGTGTTTCAATTAAGAAAATATTCTGTACGAACTTGGGTTTTTCACTGTAGTCGGCTGGCAGGAAGGAAGAAGATGAAGGCATTCTCATTCATTGTATTGAAGTTCAGGTTGCTAAAAATAAACTTAGTGTAAAAACCTTGCAACTGTTGACAGGGATGACATTTTCCGGGAAATCTTTTTAAAGATGATGATCTCTTTTGCTAACAATCACAAAATCAGCCAAATATTTCTTCTGTTTCTCAAACTGATTCTGGTTGACTTCTGAAAACACATTTCGTCTTCTAGATTATTTATCAATCTACAAGTCCTTTAGATATTCAGTAAACACAGAACAAAATTCATGTTACTGTAAATACTTGTAAGTTTCACATATTTCAGACTAATAGCCAGTGGCTTATTTGGAGACATTCTACTAGTTTTACTAAAAATAAGGGTTTGCTACGAAGAATATAGGAAATATGAGACTTGATTAACCATTCATTGGTGAGTTTTTCTATATTGTTAATACAATCCTCGTTGTAAGCTATGTTATTACAATCCTGAGTGATTTATCCTATTTTTTGGATAGACTTTACTAGTTCAGGCAACATGTAACCAACGTGTCATTTTTACCTTCCGGATAACTCTACTCTCCTCATAGGAAATTGTAATCTTCAGTACATATACCAGCGAGACTCTAATTTAGGGACGACCTTTGAACGAATCTTAAATGACCTTGACAATTATTAGCCAATCAGAAGACAGTTAGTATAAGGTGAAAATATATTATAAGAAAGTAATGAATTACAGTGGATATTCTTCTTTTACATGATTTAAAAACTTGTTAAGGTTTGATAAAGGTTCAGAAGTTCTAAATTCATAATGCATACGGTATAGAAACTCGTCCATACGGTTAGGTTAGGGTTGTTTCCTTGATAACTGCATGTCTTATTTTTCTAGTTCATGTGCTTAGAGGACTTGCTGTTATCTAACAGAAATGTAAGATCCTTCCTGTATGATGATTTGTGAAAGTCTCTTTGTGTTACGCTTTAATGTGAAGATGTCTCATATTCACTTAAATGTGAAGTCAGCACATTTTGATGCCGCTACCTGTAAACTCATCTACTACTTTGGTTCGTATGAGGCTAGAATCACGCATCTTTATAATTTTTTAAATCTTCCGCTTGTTATTTTATGGTTCGTCTATAAATATCGTAATTCTGTCTGACTCAATCACTATACTTTAGTGGTGGTTCGGTATATGCAGTAAGTGATGACAGTTGACCACGATCCACTTCACGCTTGTCCTTTGACATACAGCTCATTGGCACAAGATGATTGAGGTGTTCTCAGCAACTTCTCAACACTAGACAAACCTACACTACTCAGTGGAGACAAAAAAACCTTTTCCCAGGAGTATCTGATCTATCCCTTGTTAGGTTGGTGGGTTTACTGATAATAGTTGGGTACGAAGTTGCCAAATTGAGTGATTGCGATTATTACTACAATTGTCACATTCACTAAAAAGACTATTCCTAAGCGATAGAAATCACTTCTTATATTTGTTAAAAACGTGCATTGCTATTGAAAACTTTCATCGCTAACCTCTTGAGCGACGTGACAATCGTTTGTCCACCTCTGAACAAACATGAACCGATCTGTCCTGATTTATGTACATACTGACTAATCAGACTCGATTAAAAGGTTTTCCGGTGTTATAAATTTATACATACGAAGCTTATTTTTATTTCTGTTAGTACCGCTTGGTCACTGAGTTATTGTGTTTCGATTATTTGACTCTGTGGATGCGTTACTATCAATTCTACATTTACACAGCAGATTATTTCGGAATTTTAGTAGTTAAGGGCTTTTTAAATGGCTATTCCACTTAGTCAATATCGGCTTCGTGCTCCACCGGAACTACTGTATCTTGGCGTTATTTGTCAACCTTCATTGTATCTCAACAGTTTCAAATGTTCCTTATGATATTTCCCCGGCATTGCGAATCGGGAACGTCAAATTGGTCATAACATTGCGACGTCAGTACCCAATAGTATTTTTTTGGGGAGGATAGTGTTGGGAAGTCTATGATGTAAATTCTAGATATCAGTGGTTTTAGTACACAACCAACGTGGTGACTGTATACAATTCCAGGACCCAACTTAGTCCATTCCAAGCTGAGTTATTAGTTCTTATACTAATGAGTAAATTGTAGATAGTTCAGAGCCTATATTCAGTACACTTTTGGACAGGCATTGGATGAAATTAAGGAGAAGACGCTCATTCGAATACAGAAACTTAGACTCCAATACAAGCTGTGGCGGATGCAGTATTTGTATGAACTCATAATTTTTTGTCATTGTTGGCTACTTGATTTCGAATTATAAATACAATATGTTCGTTCGTGTTCATCTAGTACCTCTTAGTTATATTGTGTTATTTATGGGATTCCTAGCTTTTACTATTGTTTAAATACTCCTAATTGTCACACCTTTATTGTTATTTTGGTTTATTTTGTCACTTATATCCTTTGCTCCATATCATATCAAATCCAACCTTTACACTCTAATAGGAATATGGTTCTAGGCCGCTAAACAAAAACCACGAAATGAAGTGAGTTCAAGTTGTCTTGTTGTTATCTAAACTTTATTCAAGCATCCGAGTATTAAATTCGTTTTTTGGCGAATAATTCAAGTTGTCAGGTAGAGTAGTTTAAGGCATTAAAGTCCATGGCTAAAAATGGGGTCAACACTGTTTGACCAGTTGACAATATTTTCAAAGTGACCATACGTGTAGAATTTATTTGTTTTGTGAATTACGTCACATAGCTTTACTCCACGAGGTAGGTTCTCTTACTGTAAAGGTGACAAAACACTGAATAATTACTAACTGCTTATCCCTCAAGGTTATTTGAAAACCTTAAAAAAATTCCTGTGTTTTGTAGACTAATTGTGACTTAAAGTTTTTGGCACTTTCACAAGCAATTGCTGTGACTTATTTAGTAAAACTTTTACGTTCATTTTGGTGATGGACGTATAAAATAAAATCCTTGTGATATAGTGTGTGATTTGCACGAACTGATGATTACTTTTTACTTGATTTCGTGCTGATTACGAATTCCAAATATAATAGGTTCATTTGCGCTCATCTAGTTCTACCTGCCTCA